GGGAGAGAGTTTAGTTGAAAGTAGTAAATTGGTTACTGACTCAGCCATAACTGAGTTAACATTTCTGGTTTTGTTTTTGGGCTACACCCATTCATGCTCAGTACTTACTACTGACTGTGTGCTCAGGAGTCATTCCTAGCGGAACTTGGGAGGGCTCAATGAGCTATGCCAAGAGTAGAACCTGGGTTGGCCATGTGCAAGGAAAATGCCCCATCCACTGTACTCTCTCTGGCCCCTTGAGTTAGCGTTTCTTAAATAAGACAGTTCCTTTAGTTGTACCTCCCTTGTTTTTCTCTTTCTCCTGTCAGTCTGTAATGCTCGATGAGACAGTGATTATCATAGGACTATTAAGACAGCTTGGGGCCAAAGAGGTTGTGCGGTAAGCTAACGTGTAGGCTTTGCATGCAGGAGGCCTGGGCAAAATCCCTGCCAGCCATTGCTTAGTCTCTCCCAAGCACTGTCAGAAGTGATCTAAACACAGAGGCATGGGTAGCCTCTGAGCACTGGCTTCTACCCCTCCTCCCCCCACCCCCCCCAAAAAAGAAACTGGTATTCAAGCTGATCAGCTCATACAAGTTGTTAGGAATATTTTGGTTAATTTTGCTTCATTTTTTAAATTTTAGCATAGTTTACAACTGAAACTTACTTCAGCAGTGGGTCTTCAAAATTTTTCATTTACTTCTTTTTCTACTATGTTTACAGATGAACGTAATTTTAGTGAAGTGAACTATAACCTCATTCATACAATCTCTAAGTTTAAGCTTGGTTTTTGGGAGGGTCCCAGTTGGGGATGTTCAGGGGTTACTCCTGGCTCTGCACTCAGGAATTATGTCTGGCGGTACTTGGAGGGACCATGTGGGATGCTGGGCATCGAACCCCAGTCAGCTGCACGTGCAAGGCAAATGCCTGACTCGCAGTAGTATTGCTCCAGCCCCTAAAACAACATAATTTTCTGTTTTGGGGGCCATACCTGGAGGTTCTCAGTCTTCCTCCAGGCATTGTGCTCAGGGGTAACTCCTGGAGTGATCAGTTGGTGATCTGGGGACTATGTGCTGTGCTGGGGATCCAGGTCAGCCCTGTGCAGGGCAGGCAGGGGCCTTTCCCTCTGCCCGCCCTTTCCATTCCTAAACCATAGCGTTAACTTTGACTGTGGCTTATTCTCCCCTCTAGGAGTAAAGAAAATTGTGTCGTGGACAACATCAAAGTGTGCAGTAACGACTCTGGCAGCGGCAAGTTCAAGTGTGTGTGCATCACCGTGCGGGTGCCCCGGAACCCCACCATTGGCGATAAGTTTGCCAGCCGGCACGGGCAGAAGGGCATCCTGAGCCGGCTGTGGCCCGCAGAGAACATGCCATTCACGGAGAGCGGCATGGTGCCCGACATCCTCTTCAACCCGCACGGCTTTCCCTCTCGCATGACCATCGGCATGCTGATCGAGAGCATGGCAGGGAAGTCGGCGGCGCTGCACGGGCTCTGCCACGACGCCACGCCCTTCACCTTCTCCGAGGAGAACTCTGCCTTGGACTACTTCGGGGAGATGCTGAAGGCAGCCGGCTACAACTTCTACGGCACCGAGCGCCTGTACAGCGGCATCAGCGGGCTGGAGCTGGAGGCCGACATCTTCATCGGCGTGGTGTACTACCAGCGCCTGCGGCACATGGTCTCGGACAAATTCCAGGTCCGAACCACGGGCGCCCGGGACAAGGTCACCAACCAGCCCATCGGTGGCCGGAATGTCCAGGGCGGGATTCGGTTTGGGGAAATGGAGCGGGACGCGCTGCTGGCCCACGGCACGTCCTTTCTCCTGCACGATCGCCTCTTCAACTGCTCGGACCGCTCGGTGGCCCACGTGTGCGTGAGCTGCGGGAGCCTGCTCTCCCCCTTGCTGGAGCGGCCGCCGCCCTCCTGGTCGGCCCTGCGCAACCGCAAGTACACCTGCACCGTGTGTGCCCGCAGCGACACCATCGACACCGTGGCCGTGCCCTACGTTTTCCGATACTTTGTCGCCGAATTGGCGGCTATGAACATCAAAGTGAAGTTGGACGTCATCTAACTGCAGGGGGCCTCCCAGAAGAACAGATGTGGCAAATTATGAACTGCAACTCGATGGGGGTCGGCATTACTGGGTTACTTATGTATTTTTTATCCCCCCCCCCCAAAGGTGTTAAACTTTCCAGTTTAGCTCAGGATTTCCAAGTCTCCTGAGATAGATCACAGAAATATATTTTCAGCACATTTGTTCAAGACTTCCACAACTGCCTTCTTTAAAGTATGTTAGGGCCAGAATGATAGTGCATAGCAGGTAGGGTGCTTGCCCTGCCCGTGACTGACCTTGGTTAGATCCCCAGCATACCACATGGTAGTGTGTCATCTTCTTCCCCCCACCCCAGAATCACTGGAAGTAATTGCTGAGTGTAGAGCAGGAGTAACCACTGAGTATCACCAGGTGTGACCCCCCCCAAAGCCAAAAACATACATTAGTACTAGAAGGCTGGAAGGGGGGAAGCCCCTTCCCAGATCCAGGTTCTCAGATTCCCCACTCTCAGAGGCTGATTTGTACAGCAGAACAGACCAACACAAAGCTTAACTCCAGACACGGTTTTATATTATACTATTACATGAAAGTGGAAACCAAAGGTAGAACTGTTTCTAACAGATTTATTGAAATGTGGTCGCTTACCCTGAACACTCTGCATGTATGAACTGTGTGGGAGCTCCACACACATATCTGCCCCTCTGGAGGGTTCCTTCCTCCGTGTCCTCTGCATTGTTTCGTGGTTTTGTTTTGTAGCTTAACACTGAATTCGAACCCTATTCTCTTAGCAAAATTAACATGTTGCTGTACAGCACGGTTCTGTGAACTGCAGGCACACTCAGAATCCAGGCATCCTGGGTGGCAGGACGTCAATCCGGTGAGCAGCAGCTGCCTTTCTCCTGCTGCCATCACCTGACTCCGTCTCCAAGCTTGACTATATTTCAGTGACCCTGCAGTAGGGCACATCCTCCAGTGTTGGGCCTTACCCGGCTGCTTTCCTTGTGTGTCCCATGGCCCTGACTCCACGGTGTGGCAGACAGCAGTGCTTCCTTCTCGGGGGCTCTCGGTGCTCTCTCCTATGTACTTGGTACATTTTCTCTGTTCGTTTATGGTGGGTATTGTTTCCACATCTTACAAATAATGTTACTAAAGTTTAATACAGATAAAGTATATTTTGCAACATTTTCAGTATGGAACGGATCTACAAATTACATTGATATTTTATATTTTTTAAAATACTATATAAAACCAGTGACGGCTTTTCTGTTTTGTGTACAGTATTCATTGTGTGGCAGTATCGCCCCCTGCCCGTGTTATTTGTGCTGTTCTGTTCTTTGACTATTGGAGTGCTGCAGCCGTATACATGTCTACACTTTTGCAAGTAAAAGATGCTAGCTGAAGTCAAAAACTTTTTCCAAGGGAGCAGAGAGAAAGTACAGAGGTAGGGCGCTTGCCTTGCACATGGCCAGTCCGGATTCAAACACTAATGCGTGTCCTGTGAGCATCACCTGAGCATACATGAGCAGCACTGAGCCAGGAGTAAGCCTGGAGCCCCACAGGGAGTAAACCCCCACCACCCAACCCCTGCAAAAAAAGAAGAAAAAATTTTAAGATGAATCTTAGGAGTCTGAATTATCTTTTCAAGGTGTATGCAGATTTGGCTCCCTTAAGCTGTAGGGAAAACAGTACCACCTAGTCCCCTAAAGCTGCTAGGACTAGCACCACCAGGTATAGCCTCCTGAAAGCAAATACAAGTGCTAGCCGCTCTAAATGAGAGATTTCCTAAGACAACGCCCTTTGGGCCGCGGACAGAACAAAGACTGCAGCCCCGAAGGCAGAATGCGCTTGCTTGCACGTGGTCAACCTCTGTTTGGTCCTCCAAACCCTGCCAGGAGTGACCCTTGAGCACAGAGCCAGGAGTAAACCCTGAGCAATGCTGGGTGTAGACCCCAGCCAAGCCCAAACAAACTTTGTAACTGGTGTGTGAGGCTGAAGACTGGCTCCGTATGTAAAACGTATGTAAATCACATAAACTATATATTTAATCCTTCCCTGCTTCCTCTTTCCTAAAGGGTACCATATTCTGTTAGAAACATTGAATGCCATCTTTTGCACACAAGGTTCAAGGGTGGGGGGTGGCGAAGCGAAAGCACAGCGGGTATCTTACTTTCCTTGCACACGCTGACCTGGGTTCAATCCACAGCATTGCATTTGATCCCCCGAGCCCCACCAGGAGTGATTCCTGACTGTAGAGCCAGGAGTAACCCCTGAGCGTGGCCGAGTGTGACGCGAAAACAAAAAAACAATAAAAGTGCTATGATGGGGGCTAGAGCGATAGCAAGACGGGTGGGGCGTTTGTCTTGCACGCAGCTGATCCCGGTTTAATTCCCAGCACCTCATATGGTGCCCCAAGCACAGCCAGGAGTAATTCCTGAGTGCATGAACCAGGAGGGACCCCTGTGAGGGGTGGGACCCAAAAAGCAAAAAAAAGGGGGCTGGAAGATAGCACAGCGGGAAGGGCGTTTGCCTTGCACGCGGCCATCCTGGGTTCGATTCCCAGCATCCCATATGGTCCCCTGAGCACCGCCAGGAGTAATTCCTGAGTGCAGAGCCAGAGTAACCCCTGAGCAGCACCGGGTGTGACCCAAAAAGAAAAAGTGTTGTGAGATAACGCTGTTATCTTCACTTTGCAGCGGAGACTACCGAATTTCCTCTTGCTCACTAACAGCTACTACGACCACACCTGCACCGTGGGCTTCGTTTCCCCTAGCCAATCGGAAGAATTCTGCACACTAGATGGCAGGCCTGAGGCTCGTTCTCCAATCCAGGGAACCCCAACCGTTAGGCACGAAAGGGGAAAGGCCAAGGAAGGACAAGTTTGTGGACTGCCTGCAGGGACCAGGATTGGATCTCTCCGACTGGAGCGGGGGTGGTGGAGTGCTGGTGCAAACTAGGGGGGAAACCCATGCGAAACCGGCTGGAGGTCCGGCTCTTGCAGGACTCGCGCCTGCATCTGCGAGGGCGAGGAACCGCGGCGAGAGCGGGGAGCTGGGGCGCTCGCAGTGCGCAGGGGCGCGCCGACCGTCTACCGCGCACAAACAGCGGGGGCGGCGCGCAGGCCAAGCACACTCGCTCTAGGACCCTGGGGCCAACTCCCGACACTTCCGGTGGCTCCTGGGCTCGGGGTGGGGGCGGCTGCTCTGGGCGCCGCCGCCAAGACCGGCCGAGGCGGGGAGGAGCGCGAGGAGCGAGGCGGCCCCGCCCGGAGGCGAGGGCTTAAAGGGAACGGCGCTCCCCTCGGAGGGAAAACAGACCCGGCGGGAGGGGCGGGGCCGGGCGCCGGAAGGGGCGGGGCGAGCGGAAGGGGCTTGCATATGTGAGTCGACGCCTCCCCTTGACGTCGGGAGCGACCGGCTTGGAAATGTGAGTAGGCACCGCTGAGCCCCTTGCCCCGCGACTGGGCGCCTGGGCCCCCTCCAAGCTCCGGCCGGGGGGTGCAGTGTCCTGCCTTGGCAGCCCCGCCTGCCCACTCTCGCCGCCGAGCCCCTAGCGCCCCGACTGCCACGTGGGCACCCTCGACCCCCCAGCCCCCCCGGCACCCAAGTTCTGCGCCCGCAACGCAGACTCAGTTTCTCTCCCTGCCACCCTAGAGCCCCCACGAGTTCAGTAGCTTCAGGGCGCCTGGACCAGCGACCTGACTGCCTCCCTCGTGACACATAACCTTACCCCCTTAGAGCCTTCCAGATAAGGCAGGGTACCCAGACCTTACCTGTAGGGCCCACAGACCCCAGTGTACCCCAGACCTCTCCTGATGAGCCTACCGACCTCCCCCAATGTCCCCAGGCCTCACCTGTAGGATCCACAGGCCTCCCAGTGTCCCCAGACCTCACCTTAGGACCCAAAGACCCCCTAGGGCACCCCCAGGTATCACCTGTGGGCTCACAGATCAGTACTCCCCAGAACTAATCTGTAGGACCCACAGACATGCAGCATACCCCAGACCTCACCTGCAGGACCCACAGACTCTCCCAGTATACCCACATATCCACAGTGTACCTCAGGCCTCACCTATAGGACCCACAGGACCCCCCAGCCCCCTTCATTGTAGCCCAGACCTCACCTGTGGGACCCAAGACCTACAAGTATACCCTATACCTCACTGTAAAACCAAGCCCAGCTTTCTGGACTTGGTCTTCAAGAATCACAACAACCTACAGCACCTTCCCAGTGTACCCTAGAGTCCCAGTCATGCCCAGATCTTCCAGATCATTCCTCTAGGACCCCAAACCCAGCTCTCACTTCTGAGACCCCTGTTCTCAGATTTGGTCAAGAGGCCTCTTCCCAGATCCCAAGACCTCACCACTTGGACCTCAAAACCTGACTCTTGGCTGGGAGGCTTGTTGGGCCATACCCGGCTGGTCTCGGGGATCACTCCTGGTCATGGATGTGGTACCAATGGGGGTCTGGATGTGGTACCAAGCATCCAAACCAGTTGGCTACATCCCTTACCCACCATACCTACTATACTACCGCTCCAACCCCTCAAAACCTCACTTTTGGGGTCTGGAGAGATAGTACATCAGGTAAGATGCTTGCCTGACATGCCCCCGACCTGGGTTCAATTTCCAGCATTCCTTATGATCCCCCACATTCTATATGCACTATCGGAAGTGATTTCTGAGCAGAGTCAGGAATAACCCCTGAACTTTGCTGGGTGTGGTTCCCCCCCCCCGAAAGAAAACCCTCCCTTTTAAGAACTCCAAGTTCCAGGTTATCCCTAGAATTTGAGGTTTTCTTTCAAAAAAATTTTTGTGGGGGGGCCGCAACAGACATGGTGCTCCTGTTGACTCTGTGCTCAGTCACTCCTGGTGGGTCTCAGGGGACCATATGGGGTACCTGGAATTGAACCTAATCAGCTGTGTGCAAGGCAAACACCTGACCTACTGTGCTGTCACTCCAGCCCCTTGAAATTTTATTTCTAAGGCCTTAGTCTTCTGTATGATTCCAAGGTCTACTGGGGGTGGGGGAGTGGGGGGTGCCTGGACTTCAAGAACCTTCTTCCAGCACATCTTCAAAGCATGTCTTATGACAATCCGAGGCTTTTCTGGGGCTCTCCGTGATTTCCCCAGAAGCTCCCAGCTAGCTGACCAGCCCCAAGGAACCCGGCCCCACCTCTGTCCCCCTCGACTCCCAGACCCGCTTGAGACTTCTCAGACCCCCAGGTCAAGTTCCCCAAGTCACAGCAGCCTGCCGTGTCCCCCAGGCAGGCTGCCCTGGAGATCACCGCCCGTTACTGTGGCCGCGAGCTGGACCAGTATGGACAGTGTGTGGCCACCAAGCCCGAGTCATGGCAGCGGGATTGCCACCACCTCAAGATGAGCATCGCCCGCTGCACGTCCTCCCAGTGAGTGTGGGGACGGGCAGGCCGGCAGGGGGGAGAGGCAGTGACCCACGACGTCCCCCGCCCTGAAGTGCCCTGCCCGCCCCCCGCAGCCCCATCATCCGGCAGATCCGCCAGGCCTGTGCCGAGCCATTTGTGGCGTTCGAGGAGTGTCTCCGCCAGAACGAGACGGCCGTGGGCAACTGCGCGGAGCACATGCACCGCTTCCTGCAGTGCGCCGAGCAAGTGCGGCTGCCCCCGTCAATGGGAGAGGTAAGTGGGGGGCTTCACGCTGCCTCCAGCCCCTCTGCCCCTCAGACATGCACTCCGGACTCATTGCCAGAGTGATAGCACAGTGGACAGAGCACTTGCCTTGCACGTAGCCCGCCTGGGTTCAATCCTCAGCATCGTCTATGGTCCCCCAGGCTTTCCAGGAATGATCCCTGAGCACAGAACCAGGAATAAGCCCCAGACTCTCCGCAGTCTGCCCCACGCGGATCTTCACCTTTCACAAACCCTACTTTGCTTCCCATCCTAGCCACCACCCCCAGGCTCCTGCCCCAGGTGTGGCCTCTTGTCTTACCTGCCTGTAGTTGCCAGTGAGGGACCGACAGCGTCTTTACATCAAGTCATGTCCGCTCTGCCCTTTGCTGACCTCACCTGCCTCCTCCAATGTCCCCTCCTTCTCTCCTCACTGGGCTCCCTGGCACAGGGTGAGAATGAAAAGACCTGCTGCAGCTCCTAGTTCCTCCATGACAGATCTCCAACTATTTATTTATGTATTTATTTATTTTGTTTATTTATTTTTTGCTCTTTTGGGTCACACCCAGTGGTTACTCCTGGCTCATGCACTCAGGAACTACTCCTGGCGGTACTCAGGGGACTATATGGGATGCTGGGAATCAAACCCAGGTCAACCACGTGCAAGGCAAACGCCCTAACTGCTGTGCTATTGTTCCAGCCCCCAGATCTCCAACATTTTAACAGCATGTGTCTTTGGGGGAGCTTCACAAACACTGTGATTTGTTGCCTCCCCTGCTGGACTGGGAGTCCCAGAGACAAGAGTCCCATCTTTCAGCACCCCCTCCAAAGGCCCTCGGTTGGCCCCCACCTCTACTAGTTTCCAGGGGAGCTATCTCTTGCCTCTGTGCCCCATCCTAGCCCCAGTTCTCTCTCTTCTCTTCAGGGCTGTGCCTCAGGTCAACTCAGGCTGGAATCCCAGTCAACCTGGGAGCCAGAGTGATAACACAGTGGGCAGAGCACTTGCCTTACATGCAGCCGACCTGGGTTTGATCCTCAGCATCGTATATAATCCCCCCAAGCTCTCCAGGAGTGATCCCTGAGCGCAGAACCAGGAATAAGCCCCAGGCATTATCAGGAATGGTCCCTGAGCACAGACCCTGGGGAAAAAAAAATCTGAGAGCTGCCAGGTGTGGCTCCAAAACCAAACCAAACCAAAGCTCAGTAGTACCTGACCATGCTCAACTCTATTTGGAGACCTTTCGATGGAGGCTGACACGGAGGTTCGGGACCTCACCTGTGCGAGGCCCTGGGTGGGATTCCTGACCTGTCCAAGGCCCTTCCTTCCCTCCAGTTTAAGCCTGACCTCCCAGTGCAACTCTGGGGCCCCTGGAGATGGGGCAACTGGTTCCCGAGTCTTCCCTTTCCCTGCTTTCCCCCTTCCGGGCAGGGTTGTCCCCTCTGCATGGGTGCGGTCTCCTCCCATCCGTGTTTCGCCCAGGTCTGGGCTTTCGTGTCCACGATGATGGCTCAGCTCCTGCTGGTGGCACGCTGGGCTGAGACCCAGAGACCCACACATGCCAGACCTGGGCTCAGTGCCACGTCTCCAGCAGTTTCCTGCCGCCTGATCGCCTTTCTACCTCCACGGGGCTCATTTCCGTCCAGTCTCGACGTCACTTCCTACAGAAAAAACGTGCCCCTGGACCCAGTTCTGTCCCAATACCCCGGAACTCCTGTCCCTGAGCTCCCTCCGCCCACCGTGTCATGAAGGCACCGGCCAAGCGCGAGCTCCAGCCCTTAAGCTCCTCCCCAGCCCCATGACGCTGCTCTTGACCCCGGCTCTTGCTGTACGGGGCTGAGCAACACTGGGCATATTTATTTCATTTGTTGCCCGGAAGCAGAGGGGTTTTGTTTGTTCGTTTGTTTTTTCCTGATTTTAATTATTTTAATGAATCATCGTGAGATACATTTACAGACTTACAGACTTTCATGGTTGCGTTTCCGTCAATGTTCAAGTACCCACCCCTCCACCATGCCCATTCTCCACCCCCAATGTTCCCAGTATCCCTCCCCCGACCTCCACCGCTTCCCACCTCTTGCCTCTGTGGCAGTCACAATCCCTTTTTTTTTAAACAAAACAATTTAATATTTTGTAAGCTCAAGTGTTAACATGTTGAGACTCTAATATTTAACCTGCATACATAAATATTTAACAGAATTAAATAGCTGAGGACTAAGTTCAGAATTTAGAGGATTATAGACTTCATTTAGTGCAAATATTTAAGGAATTTAAAAAATTTTAATACTCTGTTGCCTAATAATCACAGATTTTATGTCAAATTAAAAAATATTTTAGTCATCAAGATTGACAGTTTTGCAATACAGTGATAGGTTTTGTGAATATAACATTGCAACACAGTGACCCTCCCCCCCCCACTCCCTGCACCCCCAAACCCCACATAAATGTCTTTTTCTTTCCATACCTGTGTCTCAGGGTTTATTGTCATCTCTCTACCTCCTGCCCTCCAGTACCCCACATCTCACTGTCAGGGTAAGGCCAGCTCAGTAGACTAGTTCTCAGGTTCTGTTACTTTTGGCCTTTCCTTATTCCTTTCTATGCTTCTTTATATCCCACATATGAGGTCATTCTGCATCTTATTGCTCTCCTTCTAGGTGACTTCCAGGCACAATCCCTCTTACTCTCTCTGTCCTTTTGGGTGTTATGGTTTGCAATACAGGTAAAAAGAAGCCATCGTGTTTGGTCCATAATATACTTTCAACATGCATCTACTATTCCAAGCGATCCCTCCAACCACCATTTATTTAGTGCTCCTCTCTCCTTCCCAGCTACCTTTTCCCCCCAGCGCATGAGACCGGCTATCAAGCTGTGGGGCAGTCCTCCTGACCCTTATTTTAACTGTCCTTAGGTGTTAGTCTCCTATTATGTAACTTTATATTCCACAAATGAGTCCAGTCCTTTTATGTCTGTCCCTCTCTTTCTGACTCATTTCACTTAGCATGATACTGGCAGCAGAGTTTATTTTTTTTTAATTTTCTTGAAATCATACTTTAATATAATTTAAGAATACCAGCCACTTCTTTTTGTTTGTTTGTTTGTTTTTTTTCATTTCATTTCATCATCCTGTTAATCGTCGATTGCCTCGAGCAGGCCCCAGTAACGTCTCTTTCATCCTAGCCCTGAGATTATATTCACGGCTCTTTAGGAGAATGAGACCCATCATTGTTACTGGTATTTGGCATATTTGGTAGGCCACGGGGAGTTTGCCAGACTCTGCCCTGTGGGCAGGCTACATTCGATAGCCTGCAAGTTTGTCCAAAGTAGGAATGAGATAATAAGATGTCTCTGCCCCCGCGCCTGGGTGTTCCTTCCCGGAGTCCCTTGGAGGGGAGCGGGTTGAGCTTTCCTCCCCGCCCCGACCAGGGCTACGGCAGCCGAAGACCTCCAGGACCAGCCACCACCGTGCTGCTTAATTATTTATTTATTGAATCACTGTGGGAAAAGTTACAAAGCTTTCAGGTTTAGGTCTCGGTCATGCAAATATCAAACACATTTCCCTTTACCAGTACTTACTTTTCACCACGAAGAATCCCAATAAACCCCCCCACCCCCCCCCCCGCCCCTCCCAGTGCCTTTGAGGCAGATGAATTCTAGTTAACACTCTATCTACTTTGACTAGATTCATTGTTTCGATAAAAGATGCACCATTATTATTTAGAGTTTACCCCCCCCCCCATCAGACATGCTGAAAAAGCATTGTGAAATGATTTGCTTTCTACAGCTGGGTTCAAGAATTAAATGATGGTTTTGGATTTCTGCTATTTTATTTATTAACCCTGGAAGTATTTCTACTGAGAGTCAGATAATTAAGAGATTGGTGTCTGTGCTCTGGAGCCATGGCCGTGCCGGAGAGCTGCTCATGGGGGGCAACTGGTGACCTTGGTAGGGCGTGAAGGATGAGCGCGGAGCGCCCCCCTTCCCATGAGGTTTTAGTCGCCCCGTCACCACTGACTCATACCTGGCTTTCCACAAGGCTCCCAAATGGCTGCCATCTTTCTTTCCAGAGGGGAGAAGGCGGAATGGCAGCAGTTTTACCTAAGGCTTTTGCTGCTGGGTCACTGTAATGATTTCAGGCCCCCGGCTTGGGCTTCCCAAATACAGCAAGTCTTCCCTCACTTACCACGGTGCTCCCCTGCGACCCCACGCAGGAGACAGCCGAGCTGGGTCCTGTGTGGCTTTGTGGTCCCGGACCGGGCACGGGAGAGGTGCTAGTGGCTGCTGATGTGTTTCTTTTTGCAGGCCCCACCACTTCCTGCCTCCTGAAACTGTTGAAGGAAAACTGGACTTTGTGTCTTCACCGTGAAGAGTGACCAAATGGGGTCTAGGGGCCATGGACATGGGCCTGGTTTCCTGGACATCAGGACTCACAGTAAATAAAGAATTTGTCTACCAGGTTTTGATTCTGCTTTTGGCTGCTGATGGGGGCCAGGGGTTGTACCTCGGAGCTCCTGGGCCTCTGTTCCCTGCTTCACCTCTATGCCACAGAGGGTTCTAGAGGAGGGCTGAAACTCATTGTGTGTCTGGTTTTCCATGAAGTAAAGTCATTTCATTTGAAGAAATTCACCAGGTGGGGCTGGAACAGTACAGTGGGTAAGGCACTTACCTTAGACATGGCTGACCTGACTTCAATCCTGGCATCCCATGTGGTCCCTCAGGCACTACAAGGGGTAATTCCCTAATGCAGAGCCAGAAGTAACCCCTGAGAATTGCCAGGTGTGGCTCAAAAACAGAAGGAAAGAAAAAGAAGTAACGAGAGAAAAATTGACTAATAAAAATGTAAAGGGAAGGAGAGAGACGTGTATTAAGAGACAGCATAGGCTTATCTGGGACAGAAAAGGCAGAAGCTCTGTGGTTTACTGGGGCTGAGAGAACCCTGTCTTCCCTTGGAACCTTTGCCAGTAGCCCTCCCGGGACTCCCACTGTGTGGAAGTGAAGAGGTCCTTTTTCCTCCCACTGTACTATTTACCAAGAAGTCACTGATAACTGGAGACCAAAAGGACCATAAGCAGCACATCATTTTTTTTTAATTTTTGTTAGTGAAACACCATGAGGTACAGTTGTAGACTTACAAATTTTTGTGCTTGGGTTTCAGTTATACAATGATCGAGTACCCATCCCTCCACCAGTGCCCATTCTACACCACCACTGATCCCAGTATCCCTCCTACCCCCCATCTCCCCCATCCCACCCTGCCTCTGTGGCAGGCATTCCCTTTTGTTCTCTCTGTCCTTTTGGGTGCTGTGGTTTGCAAAAGAGACATTGAGTGGCAGTCATGTTCAGTCTATAGTGTATTTTCAGCATGCTTCTCCCATCCTGGGAGGATCCTCCCAACACCCTTTATTTGGTGCTCCCTTCTCTATCTGAGCTGCCTTTTCCCCTAGCGTGTGCGGCTGGCCTCCAAGCCATGGAGTAAACCTCCTGGTACTTGTCTTGGCTATTCTTGGGTATTAATCTCCTATTTTGTTACTTTATGTCCCCCAGATGAATGCAATCTTTTTATGTCTGTCCCTCTCTTCCTGACTCATTTCACTTAGCATGATACTTTCCATGTAGTACCATCTGTATGTAAATTTCATGATTTCATCTTTCTAACAGCTACATAGTACTCCATTGTGTAGATGTACCAAAGTTGCTTTAACCAGTCATCTGTTCTCGGGCACTCAGGTTTTTTCCAGATTCTAGCTATTGTAAACAGGCAGCACATCATTTTCTCCCGAGTTCAGCACCAGGTGATTGAGTGGCGTGGGGATTAGTGGTGCAGATGAAAAAAATCTGGGCTTTATTCTTTTGATTTTGTATTTGGGGCCACACCAGGCTTACTCCTGACTCCGTACTCACTCCTGGTGAAACCCAGGGACCATATGCAGTTCTGGGAATCCAATCTGGGTCAGCCATGTGCAAGTTAAGCACTCTACCCACTCTACTATCTCTCCAGTCTCTTGGCTTTATTCTTGAGAAAACGGCAGAAACAGTCATGCAGAGAGGACTGGGATATTCCTTTACTGAATGGGCTGCTTGGGTCTGGGGCTTCACCAGGCCCAAGTTTGTTCCCCAAGCTGTGAATTTTACCTTCGTCTTTCTGTGTCGATGTAACGCCGATTCCACTTTGCCTGAATGACCCTGAGTGGATTCTCCTCCAAGTCAGTGAACAAAGTGTGATGCCAGACAAGCAGAACTGGAGGCTGCATTTGAGACCACCCCTCAGTTGCCTCTCTTCCAGTGGCTCAGACCGGCTTCTTGATGTGGTAGACTCGAGACTCCAGCAGAGCAAGAGGGCAAACATCCAAGTTGGCATCGTCACCACATTCTCTGAGGCCAGCCCAGAGTAGAGATGGGAAGACACCCCCACTGTGGCTGTAAGGAACTTGTGCCCAGATTTAAGTAGCTGTTCAAGATTCTACCTGGTTCATGTGTTTGTGTGAATAACTCTTATGTTGCTATGAATTTCTCCCGTGTTCTGAATTTTTAGAACTTGGTAATAGCATCTCTATTTTGTAAAATTATTTTTCATTATAAAAGTGTTTGACTTGCGTTTGCTCAGCTTATGTCTGTCCTGTGTCTTCACCCCATTGAAAGAAAGAAAGAAAGAAAGAAAGAAATAAGGCCCTCCCGTTGATCATCGATTTGCTCGAGCGGGCCCAGTAACGTCTCCATTGGAGACTTTGTTGTTACTGTGTCTGGCATATCGAATACTCTCGGTAGCTTGCCGGGCTCTCCGAGAGGGGCGGAGGAATCGAACTCGGGTCGGCCATGTTGGCTGCGTGCAAGGCAAACACCCTACCCGCTGTGCTATCGCTCCACCCCATTGAACCTGTCATTGAAATGCATGATGAAAAATAGTGATTGCAGTCTGGGGAGGGTGTGAGAGTCAAAATAGCATTTTTTTTTCCCTTAAGCAAAACAAAATTGATCAGTGAGGTATGGACATGATCCAGGTTGAATCCAAGTAATTTGGATCCCTGCCTTCACTGACAGGCCAGATATCACGGCCTGCGTATGGTGTGTGGGGGTAGCTGATGGGAAGACGAGAATGTTGCCAACAAAACTGGGCGATGGGGCTCCCCGGAGCAGAGGTCTGGTCACTACGGCTATGCTCTGACCTTGCTGCAGGTAGGGGAGAAGTCACTGGAGACCAGAGTAGCTCTGTGATACAACAGGGAAATTAAGATCAGCAAAATGGAAAAAAGGACACGAAGACTCTGCCTTGAGAACACAAACCTGGGGAATCGGGTCCAGGGCAGCATGTACGTTCTTTTTATTTTTGTCTGTCTGTAAGGGGCCCCACCAGGCCTCCAGCCAGTGGGACTTGGAAGGCCATGTGGTACCAGGGATCAGATCTGGACCCTTTCCTTTGAACCGTCTCCAGGCCCCCAGCATGTATACTGTTTTGGAGGGGAGCCATACCTGTTGATGCTCAGGGCTTACTCCTGTCAGGCTAGGGGCCAACTGGGGGTCCTGGGGGTCAAACCTGGGTCGGCCTCTTAGAAGGCAGATGTCCTACTATTGCTCCAGCCCTATCGGTACATTTGTGTTCTTATACATATATACAAAACCTAGAAAGAGGAATGTAAATACAGTAAGGCATATATTGTCTATATTAAACAGATGACATTTCTTTCAGAAGATATAGAAAAACAGGCTGGAGAAGAGGTAAAGCACTTGCTTAGCATGTGGCTTTAATCTCCACACTGTATATGGTCCCCTGAACACTATCAGGGGTCATTTCTGCTCCCAGAGTCAGAAATAATCTCTTAGAACCCCCCGGTGTGACCCAATCCCTCCTCCCTCCCCCCCCAAAAAAAGACATTCAAAACATAAACTTTATTCACTTAAAGTAAAAATAACCTTAAAAATAAAAATAGAGGAGCTGGATCGTGGTATGACCGAGATCCAAGCACAAAAATTTGTAAATCTACAACTGTACCTCATGGTGTTTCACTAATAATAATTAAAAAAAAAAACTCAATCTATTTAGAAATCAATGATAGCTTGTATTTTGCTTTCTTGCTGTACATTTTAATAAGAGGTGAGGACCAAATGTCTGACAGCTGAAACATTTCCTGCTAGAATGCAAAAGATTCAAATAGTCTGGTCAAATCTTTATTTTGTATGCTGTAAGAGAAAGAACATGCAATTTGATGGAGCTGATCAGTGGTATTGAGAGGGCTATTTATATGTCTCAGGAACAGGCAGGCTGATGAAATATGGGGTAGAGAATGTCTGAGAAATCTGCACAATGCTCAATTTCTTATATGTTAATAAGATTTGATTTCCCCACATGAGAGTATAGGTGACAGTGCATGTGATGTTGGAGCTCGACAATGAAATGTAATACCAGATGCATAGTTGCTAACTCTCTGATTTTTAACCAAGTTGCCCTTTTCTATGACTCAATTTTCTCATCTGTAAAATGGGGCCATAATCATATCTACTAGGGGTCTTGACACTCAAATAAGTTAATACTTGTATGGCACTTCAAATGATGCTGGGAATGAAATAGATTTCTCAGAATACATGTTATTATTACTTAATAAATATCACATGTCTGGGAAAAAAAATAGAGGAGCTGGAGCGATAGCACAGCAGGTTGGGCATTTGCCTTGCACCAGGCTGACCTGGATTCGATTCCCAGCATCCCAAGCACCGTTAGGAGTAATTCCTGAGTGCATGAGCCATGAGTAATGCCTGTGCGTCGCCGGGTGTGACCCAGAAAGTGAAAAATATAAAATACAAATAGGCCAGAATGAGATAGGGCGTTTGCCTTGCACATGGCCAATCTGGGTTCAATTCCCAGCACCCGATAGGGTACTCTGAGCATTGCCAGGAATGATCCCTAAGCACAGAGCGAGGAGTAAGCCCTGAACACCTCAGAATCTGGCCCCAAAACAAAAACAATTTTAATTTAAAAAATTAAAAAGTTACAGTTAAATAATTTGGCTTTGTTTCTTTTTCTAACAATAGTTCACTGAACCACTGTATCTTTAGGAATGATTATTTCATTTGGTGCAAAGTGGGAACTCTTCATTATTCCATGATGAGTGCTTTTATTGAGAGGATGTTTAGCCTCATCTAATTGGACTGACACCAGGAATCCAGCATGATTTGGGCTTGCTGAGCGCAGAGCCCAAAATGAATTTTATGTAATTAAGTAAAATTTTTTTCATTAAATTCTGTATAATCTTGAGAAGCTGGAAACATCCAAAATGCACCTTTTACAATCTTTTATATCACAGGCACGTGCATCACACCTCTTTTGATCAATATTAAGCACAAGATATCTAAGATTCTAAACTAGTAAGACTGTTTTCATTTTCTTGGAGAAGAAGCTTATAGACTGAATGGGATGTGCCAAAATTTACATCTGTACTGTCTGCCAAATATGCAAATAAATA